GTGTAACAGCGGATAAAGCTGCTGTCCTTCTCCTTAAGAGCTGTGAGCTAATCTCATGTGTATGCCATGTGATCTTATTGCCTTATCTTACATTCCAATGCCAACAGGAGAAGTAAACTGAAGGAATGACTCTTCAGACAGCTGAATTATCCCTAGAAATTCTCTCATCCTACAGCATCTGCTTTTCCAAAACCCTTTCTCAGATTGCCATCCAGTTCCCTGCTGAATTCCATTTTACTGGTGTTTTGCAGGATTCAGCTCTTTGTTGCACAAACCCACTCCCAGCCTTGGGCTGCAGTGGTGTAGAATAAATAGCAGTGACAGTTTTCTCTGCAGATGTGGCTGGTCTTCTAACAGGTTGTGGTGGCTTGCCTACCTTTGTTGTCTTCTCAGCTGATTTTCTGTGGCCTGGGGGCAGCCTGGTGCACCTGGGACAGATCAGCAAAACTGGCATGCTTGCCTTTCCTTGTCAGCCCCTGTAAGAAAGGACCTGCAGCCCAGCTCCAATATGTTTATGAAACAGGATGTTCTGTGGGTTTTAATTGTTTGACAGGTCCTGTACTGTTGAGTTTGTTTCTTAAAGAAGTTCTGTAGTAACCTAAAGGTGTGTGAGTTGAATGTATTAATTTTAACTGGCAAGTGCTGATGGATTACTCTATCTTGTACAAATGCAAAGGGTTTTTTTTTAGTAAAATGTTATTAACATCAGGGGAACACTTCCTGCTGGGTTTGGGCGGCTTTTGACTTGGTCCTTGGGGTATTTTAGGCATTGAAGGATTTCAGCATGTGGTTGTGACCTGCGTTCTCTTCTGCATGTGAAGCTTTAAGTCCTGTTTGACTGAGACACACCGGAGGAAATGTTCTATTGTTCTGCAGTTTTGACCCAAAAAAATCATTTTGAAACTCATTGTTCTTCAAATAACACAGGAATGATCGACTTGTCCTTGAAGCATTGGATACAAAACATGAGCTAGATAAAAAATGACCAAAAATAACCTGCTGTGATTTTTCCACCAACATTACAATTTATAACAGAGGCTGGATAAGGTACTGTGAAGGCTGTTTCCAAGTCTGAGCTTGTGCACTGCTTGCATCCCTAATCCATCCTAGCATGAGATACTGGTGTGCACCCTCCCCTTGTCTGGCACTGTGCTTTCCCTAGGAAAGAAATTCAAGCATGCAACAGATATGGTGACCTTTCAAAATTACTTTGGAAGTCTCAATATTTATTTGACAAACAACCATTATCACATGCAAAAAAAAAATTTCTTGCCTTTTTAACAGCGTTTTGTGCAGCTCTGAAGAGGAGCCAGGGATTAATGTGTC